AAAGAAAAGCTTTTTTTGCTGTAAAGCACGCGAAACGTCGGATAAATTTAAAATTATGTTAAATAATTGTAAATTTATAATAATACATAATATTGTCTTTGATTGACATAACCTTTACACATTTAAAGAAAAAACTTTTTACCGGATTAAAGTTATGTATTATTATAAATTTACAATTATTTAACATAATTTTAAATTTATCCGACGTTTCGCGTGCTTTACAGCGTGCGTGGTCACGGTGACTGAAGACAAAAGGTGTTGAATGTCAAAAAGTATCACAGCTTATGTTAAAAATTATGTTCAATAATTGTAAATTTATAATAATACATAACTTTAATCCGGTAAAAAGTTTTTTCTTTAACCCTAGAAAGAAAACCATATTTTGCTATACAATAAAGATAACCATACGTCATTTAGACGTATAAATGTTTGAGTGCTGGAATTTGTATATCATATGTTTATGAATGTGATTGTCAGCTTTAATATATGCAATTAACGTATTAATTAAAAAACATAAGTGTATACACTATATTATATATATTGTAAGTAGCTAAATCTTAAATAAACTAAACACAGCTCTTTTAACACTAAAAAACTTAAACATGATGGAGTCTCTTCATCAGCCTTATAATTTAAGAAATAAACTTTTTAAAATCAACTCTTTAAACTTATTATAAAATGATCAACCTTAACTAATATTTTTTTATTGATATATAAGGCTAGGGTTAGCCGTATATATTAATGCACTTAGGACAGGCGCTCAACTTATGCTCTCCAGTAGGTATATAAAAGTATTGCACTTATCTAAAAAATACGTCTGTCACCTGCAAGCTACTTGGGTCCACCTGACTTGACAGGGACGGCCAGTGCCATGGCGCGTTTATAGAAACAAATAATATAGATTTTTAAATCGACTACGTCGATTCGACGTAGATTATCTTTCTAGGGTTAAATAATACATAACTTTAATCCTTAAAAAAAAAAGAAAAGCTTTTTTTGCTGTAAAGCACGCGAAACGTCGGATAAATTTAAAATTATGTTAAATAATTGTAAATTTATAATAATACATAATATTGTCTTTGATTGACATAACCTTTACACATTTAAAGAAAAAACTTTTTACCGGATTAAAGTTATGTATTATTATAAATTTACAATTATTTAACATAATTTTAAATTTATCCGACGTTTCGCGTGCTTTACAGCGTGCGTGGTCACGGTGACTGAAGACAAAAGGTGTTGAATGTCAAAAAGTATCACAGCTTATGTTAAAAATTATGTTCAATAATTGTAAATTTATAATAATACATAACTTTAATCCGGTAAAAAGTTTTTTCTTTAACCCTAGAAAGAAAACCATATTTTGCTATACACTAAAGATAACCATACGTCATTTTGACGTATAAATGTTTGAGTGCTGGAATTTGTATATCATATGTTTATGAATGTGATTGTCAGCTTTAATATATGCAATTAACATATTAATAAAAAAACATAAGTGTATACACTATAGTTACATATATTGTAAGTAGCTAAATCTTAAATAAACTAAACACAGCTCTTTTAACACTAAAAAACTTAAACATGATGGAGTCTCTTCATCAGCCTTATAATTTAAGAAATAAACTTTTTAAAATCAACTCTTTAAACTTATTATAAAATGATCAACCTTAACTAATATTTTTTTATTGATATATAAGGCTAGAGTTAGCCGTATATATTAATGCACTTAGGACAGGCGCTCGACTTATGCTCTCCAGTAGGTATATAATGACGAAAGTATTGCACTTATCTAAAAAACACGACTGTCACCTGCAAGCTACTTGGGTCCACCTGACTTGACAGGGACGACCAGTGCCATGGCGCGTTTATAGAAACAAATAATATAGATTTTTTAAATCGACTATGTCGATTATCTTTCTAGGGTTAAATAATACATAACTTTAATCCGGTTAAAAAGTTTTTTCTTTAAATGTGTAAAGGTTATGTCAATAAAAGACAATACAATGAGAGTTTACTTTTATATTTGCGTACGTGGTAATACTAGTTAAGGTGTATATGTCAATATTGAATACAATATTTTAATGTTTACTTAAATTTTACACATTAGAGAATCTGCTCCAGCCTCCATGATCCACATGCCACACTAAAGCATAAAAAACTTGTTACACCATTAACTCATTCGTTACTATACTTCTCAATAATGATTACTTTCAGCTGGAAGTAGAAAGTCTTCAAAATCAGTTGCATTTACGTCACCGGAGAACACAGATATGACGACGGATGAATCGGACCCATCGGGATTGTTTATCGAACCTGTGGCTCAGAAGGAAAGTACGAAATCGAAATCTTATCACAACTTTAGTACTTTCATTGTTAATTACAGAAGTGATATTACGAGAATTACTATAGAGAAGTATTTTAAAATGAAACCATATGCAATAGGAAGTACATTATTTTTATTAACCACACAATTGTTGATAAAAAATTAGAATAGCGACATCTATGTACTCATTATCTTACTAATAGCACTTCTATTTTTTAGAGTAACTTAAGAAAGAAATATAATTAATCTAAGGTGACTCACTACTCAAATCAACTGTACTCATTTACTGAGTTTTGTACTCTTTTTTCGCAAACCGTACTCTTTTCAAATCCTGTACTCTGAAAGTACTCATTTGTATTTCTAAAACATTTTTTATTATGTACCTAGAGAGATAGATAGATACTACAGACCTATTTTTCTAACGTCAAAATTACATTTGTGAAAAGAGATGGATATATCTATCTCTCCAAAATGAAAGTTGTTCGGATGTGGCTACTTTACTAAACGAACATCCTCATTTAGCAAAAAAAATCCTCTCCGAAGAAAAATATGTTTTTAAAAGAAAATAAAGTTTTTATCGTTTTTTCTTCTTTTTACCTATGAAATACTTGCAAAGTGTACTCTTTTTGAACAATAAGTAGTTGGTCACCTTAAATTGTCCCTTTTATAAATTAAAACTAAATCTACTAACTCATTTCACCTTTTTAGCTAAATTACTCCTTTTGTCAAAGATACGGATAAGTATTTAAAACAGCGCCATTGAACTGATTTATTTTAAATTTTTTTTTTACATATTTTCAGTGGAAAACGTTTTACTAACGAAGTCTATAAGCGCTAGAGTGGGTAGATTCCATGGCGAAAACGATTCACAAGCTTCGGATTTATGGTTTGCATTCCTTGCCGAAAATGGTTTGGCACAGGCGAGCGAAATATTTTCAGAAGCATGTGGGTTTTCTACCTTTTATATTATTAAACGTACAGCATTAGTTTTACATGTTTCATATTGTTTCTTTTATAGCATATTCGTAATTATACAGTTAAAGTTTATAATTAACTAGCAGACCGGCCAAGCGTTGCTGTGGCTAAAGTTTTTGTTATATTACATAGTAGTAAACTATTCAAGGGAAACGGTAGGAGAACACCAGTCATGGGGACCACCATGCTTTATTGGTGGTTATGCCATTAAATTGTAGCTTATGTGAAACGTTGGTACTTTCAACACAGCGCCATCTGTTACAATTGTGACTATCAAATAATAAACAAATATTCTGCAATATATTGCGGGTATAAATTGAGAAGTAAGCTATCTTATCTTTTAAGTTGGATCAAACTACACACGGTGTGCAAATTTGATTGATATCGGTTCGGTAGTTTAGGAGTCCATAGCGGACAAACAACGTGACACGTAATTTATATATATTAAGATGAACACACAATGTTTGCTATACCAAGAATGTAGGTAAGACAAAATGAAACATATTACTACATATTACACGGTACTTACCTTTTTTTCGTTTCCTAAGTCGCTTTTGTTTACAAAAGAGATGAGTAGCTACTTATTTGCCTTATCATGCATTCCTATTTATAAATTCATCTAATTATTTCAGATAATGCAAAGAAACGTGAGAGTAGGTTAGATGAAGGCGATTTTTTCAAAATTCAATTGGACAATTATAAGGAGGTAATAATATAACTTTACCGCCTGTATGTCGTATAACGAGGTTGATTTTTGGCGAAACAATTGTTTTTAAAGTTGGTACAGGCTGATTATCTGAGACAACCAGCCCTCAAGGGTCATGACCACCCAAAAGTACCTCATACAACTTAACAAACATACGTATATATAAGTATTATTTTACAAGAAAACAATACATATTCTTTTTGTAAGACACATTGTACTTGATAAAAGCCGATTGCAAATGGTGCTTAGCATAGTGATATTGCGGCTGATTGGGCCTTTCTCAACCTAGGAGGTTAGGTTAGGTTACAATTAATAATTCTAGAATGGACATTTAAGAAAAATCATCTTTTTAGATACCAATAGAAACATTTACAACAACACTTAAAGATGATTATGATGAGATAAATCGGACATGCCCTGGTCTTTTTTGGAATACTGTAAGTAATCAAGAGTGAAATATTTTGTTATAATACATAATTCTAATTCTGAAATTAAATTCTTTCAACTCATCAGTATGCAAATTTAACTAAATTTAGGCCTAGCTTCCCAAGCTTTCTATAAAATTTAATCATACTTAATTAACCTCATGATTCGCAGTTTAAAAATAAACAGAATACAATTTTTTATAGGTGAACACGGACAACAGTGAAGTAGCATTTGCAAAAACCAAAAGAATAATAAAAGATATTGTGAACTCTCAGAATCAATTGAAGCCACTTTTTGATATAGATTTTACTAACTTGACTAACTATCCATATATGGAAGAAAAATTGACTGCAATTTCTAGACAAATAGCACCTCAGAGGCTTTTCTATTAATAAAATTCATTTTAAAATTGAATTTATTTTACTTCTGTAAGGTTCTTAAGTTTTAATACATAAGTAAATATTCTGTGAAAAACATTAAAGAAATAAAAATAAATGAGGCTGTATTCCTTACTGTGCCAATGCATTATTTGCCTTTAGATCTTAAATACAAAATATCTTATAATAATCATTTGAACACCATTGTATCAAGCATGGCACCTAAGCATTGAACAATGTTGTTTGCCATTAATACATCAACTTTCTCTTCTAAATGTCTCTTAGGGTCTTGTTTGCCGACATTCTTGATAGCCAACTGTTCTGGGGTCATCTTTTCTTCATCCTCCAGAGCTTTGTTGTAGTTCTTAGCAAGTTCCAACATGTCTGTTACTGTTGTTTCATTGATTTTGCAATGCTCTTTATAATCTGAAAGTGTAAGACCATCCATCCAAGACTTTTTGTGGAGGTTTAAAAGCATTTTTTGTTCCAACTCATTCTTTCTGTAGTTTATACTGATTGAGTAATAATGTCTGTTAAGTCCGTGGATCAGAGCTTGCACAGAGGGTTTTTGTAAGTGCCCGAGGTTGGAGGTTGTTTGCCTGGGCTCCTGTCCAAGGACCATCATATTGGGGTTAATAAGACGGAATGCATCAATGACTACTTTTCCCTTTACTGATTGGATAGGATCAACAACAACAGCAACAGCTCTCTCAGATAAAGCTTCAAATGATTGTTGTGTGTTTATATCAACACCAGACAACCAACAACCAAATCCAGGATGAGAATGGTACCTAAAAAAAGTAAATTAATTAAATTGTTTAACTTCATTCAATGAATCTTTCTAGATCATTTAACTTTTGAAAACTAAGGAAACTAATATTCATAAGAAACTATTAAGTAGGAAAGACTCAGTAGTTTCATCACCCGTTTACATAAGAATACAGGAGTGAAGATCAGTCATGGAAGTTTTGTACATTTACAAGGCAATTAATATTTGACTTTTTATTACTGGTACACTAGTGCAAAACTTCCTTATTATTTAGAATGTAACATCTAAAGTAATTCAAAGATTCACAATAAAAAAAGAAAATTAATATATATATACTTATATTGTAGTTTTCGGCTTTAACAATACCAACAGGCATAGAGAAAAATTACTTTGTGATGCAATTTAAATTCATAAAGTCCATATGCACTAAAGAACCTATTTTTTTTGTTTCATTCATAATTTCTCTTGTATACAATAAACAAAGAATTTTATAAAATTTAATGTATTTTTATTTCCATATTATATATTGAAAACTTACCATCCAACAACCATCTCAGGTCGCCCAGTTTGTTTCAACATATCCAGCATTTTTGCTTGAAAAACTGGATCTACTGCTTCAACAGAAACACCAGTTCCAGTTTGAGGCATGGCAAACACATCGATAACGCGTACTGTGTAGTCATCGACGAACTCACCTGTAAAAGTAATCACACATGTCTAATACAAAGTCTGCGTTACACAAAACGTAAAAAATAATTTTTTATCTATTTACCTAGCATCAAACCCATAACTTCCATGGGCACTCCAGCTCGGCCATGTTTAAGCATTTTTAAGAGAGCCAGCGAGGAAATATACACCTGCTCAGCCGTGTCTACAACGGGAGCATCAGTAGGTGGCGGTGCTTGAGACAGGCCCGCCATACCACCACCGAGACGTAATAAGCGATCCATGTTTCAATATTATACTGCAATAACAACAAAATAAATAAAAATTGCAAGTCACAGCGTTGGCATTTTAAAAGCCGCACATATAGTCATGAAATCCTTATAAATTGACATATATAATTGGTAAAACCTACTTTTCTGTTAACTTCTTGGATTTATATCGAAAATATAATTTAAATAATATAAATTTGCAGTTTCCACACAAATGTTTAAAAGTTATTTCAACATAAGCTATTGAGATTTGAAAGGATGATGAATTAAAAATTAAAACATGACTATTGACAATTGACATGATAGGCATATAGACAATAGACATACAGATAACTGCAACTGGTAAATTCATTCATTCTGAATAAAGTGAAAATTTGTGAGTTTGTGGAGGTGCGTTCTCCATAGATCCCTAAGAACAATAACTAACTACGTGGTCCTTTATTTTCCAAGACCATCCTCATGCATACAAAGGAGCTAAACAACTTCTAATAGCTAAAAATGTATACTATTATTTCTTTATAATTAATGTTTCCTTATAAAATCCTTGGTCACATTATATATATATATATATTTTACAAAATTTTGCTGTTGCTTGTGTGAAGGAAGAAAGGTGCTACTTTTACTCCGACTTAAGGTCGAAAAATGTATATTTTGGTTGGAGTAACTGTCTCGTTTCAGGGTATGACGTCATCGCAGTGATTGTAGACAGGTGTAGACTGTAGATATCGCTACATTTGTATTCTAGCACTAATCATTTTACATTTTCGTCGAATATTTTTTTAGTTCTGTATGATTTTGAGATCAAAAAGATCGAGTGTATCAAGTAACACTTTTTTAAAATAAAGGCCCCTCCTTTATTTTAAGCCCAACATAAACCGGGCAACCTTGTACCTCGCGAAGTGCTTCCACCAAAGGTAAGCCCTGACATAGGGTCAAACGTTTAGTGCAGGCACTCAGATTAGTAATTAAAATCGATCGTTACAAAGATTTGGGCGCATGCAAAAAAGTGTCAATGATCTAATAAAATTCAAAAATCATCTTAAAAATTTCGGGCGGATTTTTTTTATTTTGAAGGAAAGCTGACACAAATTACGAAAATAATATAGTCTGCCGATTTGCACCCCTCTCAACTCTGTCTTTCTTACTGTTTCACTAATTCTCTCGCAACGTTTTCATGCTTAATTGTATTCTAAAAGGCCAAGGATGAAAGAAAATAAGACTGGAAAGCGAAAATACTTAAAAATGTGATTACCTGAAATTATTCTATGGAAACAGTGACTTAATTTCTATTCGCCGTTAGTTATAGAAATTCATCTTTAGGTATCTGTGCACGACATTTTATCAGTGTCACTCTACAAAATCTGTACTCAAGTCTGTGAATTTTACAGCTGATTACTATAATTAGTGTGTATTGTATGCGTAATTTTTAAAAATGATTAAATATTTAAAAGTCGGAAAAGGCATCCTATATTAATTCTAATTGAATGAGAGGCTTTTATTTTTTAAAGTAAAAGATTATAAAAAGTATCAGCTATGCAAACTACAGCAGATCATTCTGTACTACCACCTAAGTTTTCAGCTGGACCTAAAGGTGTGGGTAAGTAGACCCAAACATAGTAAATTTAAGCTACTTATGACTACTATAAAGACCTCTTTCTGCAGGTGATCCTAACGATAAAAGTTTAAGGAAAGTAGAAACAGAAGTCTTAATACCCAAACTTATGAGGGAAAAAGCAAAAGCTGAAAAGTGTGTAGAAGAAGTCTCACAATTTAATGAATGTTGCAAAAATTCATCAATATTTATGGTTTATAAGTGTCAAAATGAAAACAATACAATGAAAACATGCTTAGGAAATTGGTATAAAAATGAAGAGTTCAAAAAAATATGCACAGAAGAATATCTAAAAAAACGTAGTGAATATCGAAGAACAGGAAGTAAAAACCCAATAAAGAGGGCATAAATATGTGTACATTGTTGAAATAAGAAAATAAAATTTATTAGTCTCTGTCATCATTTATTGTTACAGGAAGATTTCTTGATAGAATTAATTCCTTAACAGTATATGCATTTAACTCTTTAGGTAGGTTAAGATTTTCTGTTTTTGGTTCAATCACTTCTATGATCAGAATTTCCTGTAAAATTATTACAATTAATGAACAAAATTCTATACTAATGTATAATATATTACAGTAGTCATATTTATAAATTATAATATTACCTTAACGGTAGTAGCAGACATTCTGACATGCCCTAAAATAGTCAGCCAGCTATTGTAATCCACATGGTTGTGTTTTATAACTACAATGTAATCTGAATGATTAATTCCTGGACCCTCTTTATAGATTACTAAAACATAGTAAATTTAAAATATACTTTTTTATTCTCTTTTATAAATTATTAAGTAACACATTTTATAATTTTAAAGTTATAATAAGTATTATAATACTTACAAAAATCGCCTCCAAATTTTATGCCTGGCTTGACAATATAACCCTTAGATCTATAATAATGATACACAATGTACTTGGAAATAAAGTAATTATCACCCTCAAGAAAGAGTTTCCAGCATTCTTTGACAGTCAGTAACTTATTTTCATGGAATACTTGTAAGCAGCCCAAGCCATACACAAGAAAGAAAGCTTCTTGTTTAGTGAGTACTAACTTTTCCTCTAGTTTAATTTTGTTAATACAACATTTAGGCTTCATGTTAGCAAAATAATCATCATCCTCAGAGTCACTATTAGGAACAATAACTACAATATCTTGCTTGTTGCTGAAAGCACATGGAGGGCCTAATGTATCATATTGGTTATCTTCACAAACCTCATCTTCACTGGACACCAAATCTATAACATTCTTTTTAAGATTTTTAGAATCATTTTTTATCTTTTTTCTTAAATCTTCAACATGTTTAAAATAACTATCAGTTTCTGGATATTTATTAATGGAATCAAACTTTTTATACCAGTAAATTCTTTTTAAATACTGCCTTTTCCTAATAATAGAAGGACTACTATCATTTTTTATTGGTTTTGGCTTTGATCGAGATTTAGTTCCCTTACCAAAACAACCCATATGATACAACATTGACATTTCCTCTATACCCCTTACTTCAACTCCAAACCCATTGTAATGGCCAGTAAAAATTATTCTCATTGAACTGTCTAGAGGTAATCGTAGTGATGACTCAATTTCTAGAGGAAATTGTCCATTTGGGTCATAAATTTGACAATGGTTATCTGTTTGTAAACTATTCATGACAAAGAAACTGGCCAGTACCCAAATTTTATTTTTAGCACAATGTGTCACAGGTCCAAATGGATGTGAATCTGTAACAAAAGTCATTTTTACAATATTTAAACTTTTATTATGAATTACGACACTAAATTATAGCATTTGTTTAGTTTTCAAAATTGTTAAAGTTAAAAAAATGGAAACATCAATACCAAAAAAGGAGGAAGTAAAGTACAATCGTAAGTTACCTATTTATGTATTTCCAAAAGCACCTGCTGCTGGCTGCACCAACATTAGCCGTTTTATTTCCTACTCAATTATATTATTAGGTTTATTTTCAACATAAACTAACGTAATATACAATCAGATTTACCTAACACACAATGAAATAGTAACATCTGTAAGGTGTAAACACTATTTAGACATTTTCAATGTGTTAGGATATTTATTGTTTACGTTAGTAACAATAAATATACAATTATGGTTGTTGAAATTATCTCGGCTTTTAACTCTTGATTACTTTATATTTTGTATTATAATATAACATAATATTGTAAAATATTAATATTTGTCTCGCTAGATGGCTCTCTCTTACATAAATAGTGTTAAATCAAAAATGTAAATTTTCTATTATTTATAGCAAAAACCACAGATAAAGTTGCATACCAGCAGCATGTCTTTAATATTTTGACTACTTGTCACTACAATATGTCGTATTTTAAACTTACAACATTCAGATAAAAAAAACATTATAGCACTCAGTAGTGACAACATAATATCATATATTTCTGTCTCTTTTTTTTCAGCTCGACAAGTATACATAAGAGAAGGTAAGCGATATTGTAGCGTAATCATAGACAAATAAATCAGAGACAAATTCACTTTCAAAAGTCACAAGACCTCTCAGCTGAGCTTTCGATTTTCCATTTTTGTGTTTTCGGAAAACTGTTCTCCGTAAAATTTTAATTCTCCCGTGGGTGGCATTTTCTTTTTAAAATAAATTAGCCAAAATGGCTAACATTAATGATGAAAATGTTAGCAAACTTATCCCCACACTTGGAGATGATAAAATTGGTAAGTTATGTCGTATATCATACTTCGTATTTTTGTAAGTAATAATCAGTATTTCTTTTAGTTTATTATAGAATATATACGAATTATTTTCAGATATGATTGCTGCTACCAGCGTGCTACAAATTAGGGCTAGTGAGATTAGACAAAGCCAAATTAATTGGCAATCTTATCTGCAGTAAGTATTTTAAGACTTCTATTCAGTCTTAATATTCAAATATATATGTGAAAATTAATGGTTTTATTGTTTCTAGGTCACAGATGATCACACAGCGTGATCATGACTTCATTGTTAACTTGGATCAACGTGGCCAAAAGGATTTGCCAGACAAGAACCCAGAAGGTTGTGCTGATGTCTTCTTAAACCTAATAACTCACATCAGTAAAGATAACACCATTCAGTATGTGCTTGTACTGATTGATGACATTTTATCTGTAAGTTCAAGTATACTATATGTGAATTATTTAAGTAGTTAGGGGGAAACACATTTCTGTATTTGTCTCATGATATGCCATTTTTACCTTCTAAACAAATTCAAATGTTGTTTTATGAAGACTCAGAACCAAGCCCTGCCCTTGAACAGAAGATCTTACAAGCTTATACTTCTTGTACATAACTAACTAAAGAGAAATATTATATTAGTATCAAAACTTATTAAAAAGTATAGTAGATTTTTGTTTTTATATTTAAACATATTAATTTATAATCCTAATTTTAGGAAGACAAGTCTAGAGTGAAGATCTTCCGTAATTCAAGACATGGTAATGCCTGGCAACCATTCTTGAACCTGCTGAATCGTCAGGATGAGTTTGTGCAGCATATGACCGCACGCATCATTGCAAAGTTAGCATGCTGGCACCCTCAGCTCATGGAGAAAAGTGACTTGCACTTCTATCTTTCCTGGTTGAAGGACCAACTCAAGTCTAATGTAAGTGACATTTTCAAAATTAAATTGCTTCTTAGTTATTGGTAATATTTATTCAGTGTATACTCTATGTATCTCTGACATGATTGCATATTTCGTAAGTTCTGACGTTATAGGAAATTGTTGTTTATGTTTATGGTATGGATACAAAGGAAAATCAACCAAAGCTGTGTAATTTTGAATTTTTAGGGAGTTTACACTGGTTTTTATTTTAATTGAGTTATTAGAAAGAGAAAATTCTGCTATAACATTTGGTTTATAAGAATTTCCTATCTATGTTATGTAAACTAGACACTCTTTCTAGTATCTTTTGTATTTTATATGATTAATGAAAATGTTGTGTTTGCTAATTAAATATTTTTTATTAGTGTTGTCTTTAAATGCATGCATATTGGCTTGACATGTTTTCATCTAAACATTTATTGTATTAGGATTTATTATATCATGTTTTTTTTTATTAATATAATTTGCTTTTGGCAAGATATTTTCTCCACAAGTTTATTTATGATTAGATCTTGACAGTGAAAAGTGATAAGTATATCCAATATTTTTTATCTTTGTATCACCAATATAGAAATATGTTTAAAAATTTTTATGTTATTAATATTATATATCATGCATGCTAGAAATTTGTCAATAAGTAATGAGTTGACTTGTTTTTTATATAAATTGCACAATATAATTTGTATACTATTATAAATGTAACTAATTTTTAACACGCTTGGCCCTTCCTAAGTCACGTAACAACACATTCACACCGTACTTGGCATCTGAAAAGCATCATTCATCATTGGGATAATAAGGCATAGGTTTGCATTTTATCACCGTGAGGTTTGTTTTCTGGCAAGGCGGAGAATATGTCTGCCGAGTTAGCGCATGCTGAGCAGGTTATGTTGGAGCACGAAAAGCAAAATTTCTCCGATAAACACAATAAGCACAAGGAGAAGATTGACAAGGCCGACAGTGAAAAGTATTCGAGCCTATACAGCTCTTTTGATGTTCTGAAACCGCATGAGGATTTGCTCCATGGCATCCACAAGGTATTCTGTGTTGACGCCCGACGTGAATGTAAAGTAACTACAAAGATGAGTCACTAACAAGAAGATTGAGCTGAAAACAGTGTAACTAATCTGTGTGATAACAACCCCTTGGTAGGCTTGCATTATCAATTTTAACTGTTATACTAATAAATGCTAATTTTGCATAATAATTATCTATGAAATATAAATATGTCTCAATATTGTACATATGTAAATTTTTTATGAAATGTTAATCTTTGTAATTTCCTACGTACATAATGTAAATTTTTAAGTAAATTTGTCAGTATTAGCAGTATTGCAGTTGGGCTTAGCTTTTTGTGTATATCAAATAATGCTTGTGTCATGTGCTATAATTTTGTTATATTTATATTTACTTAATAGACCATCATTGTAACACTAAATCTATCTATATTAACCTTCCACGCAATAATTAAACAATAAACATTATATAAAGATACATTTTTCATGTAATATTTTCAGAACAACGATTACATTCAATCGGTGGCGCGCTGTCTCCAAATGATGCTTCGTGTGGATGAATACCGTTTCGCTTTCCTCTCGGTAGATGGCATCTCTACTTTGCTCTCCATTTTGGCTTCCCGCGTTAACTTCCAGGTATGTGTATCTACTATAGCTTAACTTCTGAATGGTAGAGTCTGGCTAATGAAAGAAGATAACGAAAAAGCGCGGCAAATTAAAAAAAAAATTAGTAAGGTATCCCTAAAAGTTTGATATATTTTGTGGATTAAACTTACTTGATACTTGATTTTATTTTGTTATTTTTTTTACATTGATAGTAACTGTATTTCTATGAAATTAAATACTATTCGTATTTAGTCTTTAACCATTGATACTTAAAAAGTCTAGCATTGCATGGAAAACTACAACTATATTTATTATAAAACACAACTTTATTCGGAATTATCAAATCCTGCGAAAGGAACGAAATATTCTATATTAAAAAACAAAGTTTGGGCTATTATTATACCTGTTAACTATTCGGAAAAAATATATAATAGAAATAAAAATTAATAATAATTGCATGAAGTATCAAGACAATAAATCATACTAACCTAAGAAATTCAATGACATTCTGTGTTGCCATCCGAAAGTTTTCAAATAATTCTTATATATTATATAAATAATATGTAAATGTTGTTAAAAAAAATATTCTGTGTAAAAATAGATGATGGTTTTGTTGGTACCATATTTTTTTTCAAACAATAAAGTGGACCTTCCACTTAACGTAAGCTATAGCAATAATTAGAAAAAATAGAATTTAAAAAGTTTGGGTAAATTATTGTATAACGATTTTATGCAACTTGTATAATAACAATAAAATATTCACATGACATACCTAGTTAATTATTGTGTTATACATTCTGATAAATGAGTATTAATAATGTAATATTTGAATGGCTCGTAAGTAATACGCCATAGAGTATATAGATAATAGAAATTAAAATATATTTCATGTGCAAATTGCGCCATCTATGCCTTAGCATTAGCTAATTTGATAAGGGAGCGTTCAAGTATTACGTCGCGCAATTTTTGGAGATTATTGACCCCCAATGTAACGCGCCGTAATGTTTTTCTGTACCCAAGTATAGTAAAACGTTTCGTGACCACCCAGTGACTCTTTATACCTAAAAGTTACCATTATGTGGTATAAAGTACTGGAAAGTCGAAAATAATATTAACAAAAACGCGTAATTCAATCCCCGCCCCGTATCGTAACGTTTTACAAATCGTTACCCCCCAAATTCGTTACGTAATACTTGAACGCTCCCTAAATTGGTTAATGTTATTTAATAGCGATTAGTCTTAGTTTATTTTTTGAAATGCTGTTGTTACATTGCTACCATATGTAATAATTTTCTTCCTAAAATATATTCTTTAAATTGAAAAAAGAAATGCTACTCAAATTTGGCAATGTAGAGGGTAATATAATTATTTTTCATGTTAGGTTCAATACCAACTTGTATTCTGCCTCTGGGTTTTGACATTCAACCCACTTCTTGCTGAGAAGATGAACAAGTTCAATGCCATTCCGATCTTGGCTGATATCTTGAGCGACTCGGTGAAGGAGAAAGTCACCCGTATCGTTTTGGCCGTCTTCAGAAACCTGATTGAGAAGCCCGAGGATCACCAGGTATGCCATTTCATATTTTTTACCAAGTTAAAAAAAGAAGTTCACTGTGCCGGGGAGGAAACAAACTAGATGTTTAATATAACTATTCATTTGAATATAAAACTCACTGAATACAATTAAACCTTTTTAAAACAATAAAAAAATATTGAAGAATTCATAGTTTGGACTAATTAATGTCTTTTATTAAAACAATATTATGTTGTAATGAATCCATTTTTGTTTTCTTAACAGTTTTATTTTAGTCAGACAGACCCATACTCCTCCCAAATGGCTCGACCGATTCTTATGAAATTTTTTGAAGTTATACTTCTTTAGGCGCGTTATGAAAAATTGATGAGAGTGAAATTTTACGATGCGCGCGCACCTGTGACACAAAATTGGGAGTGTGATATAGCGTGCGCGAGCGAGATAGGAATAAAACAATCTACAAGTAAAAAGAAATAGAATATGCGTGAAGTTCGTATGCCAAGAATTTTGAATGACCATAATGACATTTGTCATTTACCTTTTAAACAAATAAAGGAGTTTTGATTAATTTTTCAAAGAAATTTATTAATTTTATATTGTGCAATACTGCCAAAGCTACAACATACTTCTTAGTGTTTGGTAGAGATGTTCTAAATATATATTTATATATACTTTTAACTAAATAGAATTTATGTTACACTTAATGTAAGAGAATAATAATAAATAATTATTTATTTAATTTTTAAAATGTAAACTGAACTTAATTGACTATAATGACTCCTTTTCCAGTCTTTGATTATTTAATTGTAATTAATTATTTGCATGCAATCAAAAACTATTTTTAATAATGCCAAAGAAGTATAACTTCTTACGCGCGTACATAAGTACACGCACCCTTTTTTTATGCATATTCACTAAGTTTGAGAATCGGCTTCTATCTATCTTTCAAACCCCTAAGTGATGAGGGGTGTCCATCCCAAATTATTTTTTTAATTTTTAAGACAATTTTTTTTGTTTTTATTTTTTTATTATACAGCATACAAAAATACATACAACCCCTAATTTTCACCCCTCTACAATCAACTCCTATTTTTATTATTGTAGATAGTTATTTTTATTGAACTAAAAAAATGTTTCCTAGAAATGATACATGGCAAAACAACGTTTGCAGGGTCAGCTAGTTTTATATAATAATTGCAGCTAAAGATAAATCATATGGTGCACAGAAGGGTGTCGAATGTATGACCTATTAGGTTTGAGAATCACAAGGATAACTACAAACTTAACAATGTACTTACACTAAGTTATAGTGTGTCATTAAGTATTCAAGACTTAAATGATTTTTTTCAACTGTCTCTTGAACATTAGCTTAATTCAGTAATAATAATATTTTAAGAAAGTGTCCAATATCACTATTTACGGTCTCTATCAAAGGATGCATACTCTCTTGTGTTCTTTTTGTATTACTTAACTTACATTTGAAAGTTTTTATACCTAATCTGTACTAGTCCTGTGTTGTCAAGAAAATTAAGTTAAATAATATTTTAGGTGGCTAAAGAGCACTGCATCGCAATGGTGCAATGCAAGGTGCTGAAGCAGCTGTTCATCCTGGAGCAGAAGAGGTCTGACGATGAAGACATCATGTGCGATGTGGAGTTCCTTAACCAGCGGCTCCAGGCCTCCGTTCAGGACCTTAGCTCCTTCGATCAGTATGCTACAGAAATCAAGAGTGGCCGGTGCGAATTCTTTTATACCATTGGTTAAATATCTAACAATAGACAACTTGTATCAACTTCATATCGCTTATTTAGCTATTGATATTCATTAATCTTAATCTTAATATATATAAATTACGTGTCACGTTGTTTGTCCGCTATGGACTCCTAAACTACCGAACCGATTTCAATCAAACTTGCACACCGTGTGCAGTTTGATCCAACTTAAAAGATAGGATAACTTACTTATCAATTTATACCCGCAATATTATTTTATTGAAAAATATTTGTTTATTATTGAATAGTCACAATTCTAACAGATGGCGCTGTGTTTAAAGTATCAACGTTTCACATAAGCTACAATTTAATGGCATAACCACCAAAAAAGCATGGTGGTCCCCATGACTGGTGTTCTCCTACCGTTTCCCTTGAATAGGTTACTACTATGTAATATAACTAAAACCTTAGCCACAGCAATGCTTGGCCGGTCTGTTAGTATATATATATCTCCAGAAATGCATGAATCACCGATATCTCAAACACTATGAAACCAATTTTTATTATATTTATACCTTCAGTAATATACATTGATTTTTATAATTACAAACAAGGGATTTTTTACTGTGTTTTCTGTATTAATATTAATAAGAAGAAATATTTGTTAGTTAACAATGACCTCAAAATTTGCTGGATTGATCTCAGTCTATTTATTTTACTACAAAATACTAAAATAAATCGTGTGAAGCCAACAGGGGTAGCTAGTTAAGGAGCGTTCAAGTATTACGTAACGAATTTTGGGAGGGGGGTCCTCTTGTAAAACGTTACGATGCGGGGCGGGGATTGAATTACGCGTTAATTTTAATATTATTTTCGACTTTCCAGTACTTAACACCACATAATGGTAACTTTTAGGTATAAAGAGTCACAAGGTGGTCACGAAACGTTTTACTATTGGGTATAGAAAAACGTTACGGCGCGTTACATGGGGGGGTGTCGATAATCTCCAAAAATTGCGTGACGTAATACTAATACTGTTTTAATCAAAAGAGATATTTATATTCTAATTATTTTTTTGATTACAGTCTGGAATGGTCTCCGGTGCACAAGTCTGCCAAGTTCTGGCGCGAGAACGCAGCGCGGCTGAACGAGCGCGGCCAGGAGCTGCTCCGCACCCTGGTGCATCTCTTGGAGAAGAGCCGGGACCCAGTGGTGCTCGCCGTGGCATGTTACGATGTGGGAGAATACGTGCGACACTATCCCAGGGGAAAACAGTGCGTATACTATATTTCATTTATTTATAACTAGCGAGCCCCGGCTTCGCACGGATGCAATGCTGATACTAAATTCAAAGTCCTATAGAGTATAGGGAGAACCGCGGCCTCCGACGCGACGCGTCCCGCAATTTTTGAATTTGTAATAGCTTCGAAAAATATTCATTTAAATCATATGCTGTAAAGGGTCATATAGATCTATATTATATCAACAATGTATTTAAGGTATTTAATTGGATAAGGCTTAATGCTGTATTGGTTAAAATCACTTCGAAAATTAGCCATTATTTGTCGTAAAAAGTAAATGTCAAAAAATGTTATTGTGGGATATCCATGAGAGATAGACATATACCATCGTGGAGTTTTCTGTAGACCTTTTCAATGTGTACATTACTTAGTACATTATTTTGATAAATCTCGTAGGGTTCACAATGTAAGCGGAAAAAATGTAATTATTTACGATTTACGAAATCACATTAGAAACCTCAAAAATAACAGTATTTCTCCATCCATATTAAATGGATGTTATTATACATGTAAACCTTCCTCTTCAATCTATCTATTAAAAAAATGTGTGCGTGTACTAGGTGTACACACGTAAGAAGTGAAACTTATATAAAACCTTTGTTGTACGCAGAGCCATAATTGGTTTGTTTTAAGTTTAGAGGTCCGAAACTATTTCTTTAAACACAGTAAATTTTGATACACTGCCTAGCATACAATTTACAAATTAATTGCTGCAAATTGCGATTAGCAAATTTCAAGTCGAAAATGTAATCCGTTGTCAAACTTCAAAGTCAAAAACATACTATATGTCATATTTTAACGCCGATAAAGAAGTTTGACTTCGAAAATGTAATCCGTTGTCAAACTTCAAAGTCAAAAACATACTATATGTAATATTTTAACGCCGATAAAGAAGTTTGACTTCGAAAATGTAATCCGTTGTCAAACTTCAAAGTCAAAAACATACTATATGTAATATTTTAACGCCGATAAAGAAGTTTGACTTCAAAAAGCAACATGGCGCGTAACGGAAAAATGTGACGCGTAACGCACAAATTGTACACTAAATTTTTTTCCAACCCCGATAAAGAAGTTTCACTTCAAAAACCGCATCAAAAACCGTTGCGTAGATTTAAAGATTTAAGCATACTATGTCGTGATTAATATATTTTTAAATACGTTTTAACCAGATTATTTGGCGAAAAAGAAAATACTTTTTCTATTAATTTTACTTATTCCACGGGACAGTAAGTATGAAAACTTAAAACAAAAGTATATACGATGACGTTATACGATACGAGACTGGAGCGCCGTATTAAGGCGCACACTAGGCAGAACGTTTGAAAAATATCTAACAATTTGTTAAAAAAACTTCTATTATTTTTTTTTTTTTTCGACAGCGGACTATATATAGCGGGTTTTTTTCAGTGTCTTGGAACAACTTGGAGGCAAACAGCGTGTGATGTTTCTCCTGAGTCACGAAGATCCCAATGTCCGCTATGAAGCTCTGCTCGCTGTACAGAAACTGATGGTGCACAACTGGTTAGTACTTTTCAATTAGATTTTACAGCTTCGTACTGGTATCCTTTGATAAGTGAAATGTTGTAATATAAAACACCATATTTGTAATATTCTGCTACCTGTTTCATAAAAATAATTTAGTCTGAAACTAAACATGTAATAGCGACATCTATTGGCAAAATTATATTTTAAATGTTCAGAAAACTTTATAGTCTGGCTAATGAAAGAAGATAATTGAATTATTTTAAAACTTTCGGATGGCAACACAGAATGTCATTGAATTTCTTAGGTTAGTATGATTTATTGTCTTGATACTTCATGCAATTATTATTAATTTTTATTTCTATTATATATTTTTTCCGAATAGTTAACAGGTATAATAATAGCCTAAACTTTGTTTTATTTGATAGAATATTTCGTTTCTTTCGCAGGATTTGATTATTCCGAATAAAGTTGGGTTTTATAGTACGTAGTCGGTCCCAAAGTTCTGTCATAAATGGAAATAATGATAAAAACAAAAGTACTGATCAGTTTGTAATGAGTGATATATCAATTCTTAGTACATTAATTAAGGAATAAAAAAAGCATAAAAATATTCGAAATAACCTCCCTCATTTTTAATACAGGCCCTTAAGCGTCGCGGCCAGTCGTCTATCGCAGCACGCACCATATTCGTGTCGATTTCAGTCACTGGTTTTTTTAAAGATGACTTCAGATTCTCCAAATTTTCATGAGGTTTATCACAGACCTTCCTCTCTAAGCCCTGTCATAATTTTCGGGTCCAAAGGATTAAGGTCCGGACTGGAGGAAGGCCAATCCTCATGTCTAATTAAGACGATGTTTTGACGCTCAAACCAGGCTTTAGTGGTCTTGGCTTTGTATGCAGACGCAGAGTCCTGCTGGAACACGAAGTGATGTCCCGCAAATAGGGTGCTGGACATGTCTTTGACAAGGCGATACAAAACCGTCTCTTGGTACACTGTAGCACTGGTTTTGACCCCCTTTTCGAAAAAATTAACCTCAGTTAGCCCGTAATAGGACACTCCCAACCAAACCATTACTGATGATGGATGATGTCCATGTTGCACCCTTTGAACTTTATTTTCAGCTTCTTCAGAACTCCTAGCGTACACTGTATAATTCTGTTTATTGTACTTCTCTTCAATATCGAAAAATTTTTCGTCCGTAAAGAGGATATCACGGTGTCGGTTTTTCGCGTACCGCTTAAACAACACCCGCGATCTCTTAAGCCTTATTGCTTTTAGACGAGCATTAAGTAAGTGCCCACTCTTTTTTTGTATGCTCGTAGACCAAGATCTTCATTTAAAACCTTTTTTACTGTTTTCCTACTGACACCCATCTGCAAATCCATCAACTTCTGTTTTCGGACAGGATTTCTTACTATCCGCGCCTTGATAGCTTTGATTACTGCTGGTGTTCTTGCGGAGCGTGGCCAGCCAGTTCTTTTCTTGTCCTTAACACTGGAGACTTCAAGGTACCTATCAATAGTACCGTACACAAACCTAAGCGTTATATTCAAATTTTTGAGCAACTTGAAAATGGTACTCGGCGAGTGTCCACAGCGGTGCAACGCAATAACAACTATTCGGTTTACTTTCAATGTCCACTCCATCGTGAAAAATTACGGAAAGTTATTGTTTTTTGTTTTAAAACAATAATCAAACATTCCAAAATAGAATGCAATAATTTTTTTATAAAATCCTGCTCGAAATGTAGAAATAATGTGCTAGTGACAGAACTTTGGGACCAACTACGTACATATAGTTTTAGTTTACCATGCAATGCTAGTATCAATAGTAAAAGACTAAATACGTTATCTATCAATTTGAAAAATAATAAAATAAAATCAAGTAAGTTTAATCCACAAAATATATCAAACTTTTAGGGATACCATACTAATTTTATTTGAATTTGCCGCGCTTCTTCATTATCTTTCATTAGCCAGATTCTATAAACGATTAAGTCGGTACGTGATAACGCCATCTATTGCCAAAAGTTGGTATTATTGTGGTCTTTCACAAAAATAACTCGTGTTAAATATGAACAAATAATGTTCACAGGGAATACCTTGGCAAGCAATTGGAGAAAGAACAGATCGACAAGCAAGCCGGCGGCACTGCGGTTGGAGCTAAATCTTAAGAAAAAAGATATTTATTGTTATTGTTATCTAGAATTATATGTACACTGTACATACCACAATGGAAATATTTATTGACAGTGTGAAAATTATGTAAATACGATGTTAGAAATATATAAATTATATTCCCCCAACGCTAAAAAATTACATTCCTATACGAGTTTTACTGTTGAAACCAAATACTATATGGTGTTTCCTTTGTAGATTAGCTCGTGAATATGTAAACGCGCCATTAATAAAGTATTAATTGTCTCATGCTGTTTTTTTTAAACTTGTATGTGAGATATTGCTACAACCCTTTATTAATTTGGAAATGGATGGTTTTTGGTCTAAAACTTGAAGGTTTTAGCCGTACTTACGATAATTTTTATTTATCGTACAAGAATGTTTTGAAATCAAAGCGGTTGTTGATTTTTATTGTAATGTCGGCTTTTGAACGTACGTTCGAGTCTTCAATTTGGAAATCGCTTTCACAAAATGCTAACATCGCTCATATAGTAGGAAATAAAATAATATTCTCATAGTGATATAATCTAGTAAAGTATTAAAATAAAATTCTCAGTATAAAGTCTCAGAAATTTTATCCCACGATAGGAGAGTACAGTCAACACCTGTTTGTGAAAAACAACTCATTGAATGGATGTTTTAATTAATAAGATTTCAAGCCAGGCAATTAAGCAAAATTGTTTTTTTTATAAATGTTGTAGGAGGCAAATGGGCAGGAAGCTCACCTGATGTTAAGTGATACCGCCGCACATGAACACTCAAATCGCAAGAAAGCTCGCAAGTGCGTTGCCGGTCTTTCAAGAATAGGTACACTCCTTTCTTGAAGTACCCTAAGGCGAATTGGTTCGGAAATATTTCAGTGGGCAGCTGGTTCCACATAGTAGTGGTGCGCGGCAAAAACTTCCTTAAAAACCGTTGAGTTGTGGAACGACGGACGTCGAGGTGATACGGATGGTATTTTGTATTCTGCCTTGACGTCCGATAATGATACTCAGGTAGATATTAGTCCTAACAACTCCTCTGAACACTCTACATACTAAATGCGGTAGAAGATGCAGAGAGACCCCACATCTCTACGCAACGCCAAGGGATCAAGCCGCACGGAAAGTGACTGGTCGTTGACGATTCGAATCGCTCTTCGTTGATTACGGTCAAGCGGAAGTTTTAAAGCCATGCTAACATTGATGTTCGCCATCATTAACCTACACAAGTAGTATTCATCGTAGAATTACCAGAAGTTGAGTTTTTGAAAATGTAGGATGATTAGGTACATATTGTGTAAAGTTCGAAGGCAAGTCGTTAGAGATTAAATTGTTTTTTTTTAAATACGCGTACCCTCCCTTTTCCGAAACTTCATCTAACTGATACACAAAAATGTTCCTTTTATCGCTTTTGTATCCCCATAAGTTAATACAACCGAATAGTATTATTGAATCTGTGTTTCTGTAATTTTTTCTTGTCTTGTCTTTGTTTCTAAATATTGTATTGTGAGTGTCTCTTCGGGCAGTATACGCCAAGGTTCTAGGACTTCTTACTGGTGATCTAAAATTTGTACATTTATAATAAATAAATAAATCTTAAACTGTTTTACCTTCCGAATCACGAATAATTAAAGAGAAGTAGTCGAATGTAATCTTTCGACAAATTTTTCATTTAAACAGATATAAAAAACACATTCATCTTGTTATTCAAGAGTATCTTGATTGATCTTATACAAACATGAGGCAGATAATCCAAATTCTAATGAAGATAGTGTTTATGTGGTTTTATGTGGGTTTAAATTAAAAATGTATTTACATTACGACCATGTGTAGGTTGCTTTGGGTCAATATATGTTTCTAGAATAATGCCGACAGCGACACGCGATAAAACTCTTTAGTTTTAGCCATGCGCTGGTTTATGGGCGCTGACGATTAGCGTCTAATCAGCCTTAGTTATTTCCGGTAGAATGCTGGCAATATCGTTGGCAAAATAGTTCGCTTGCACATAGTAGATAAACAAAACAAAACTAATTTGGATCAACTACATCTTCGATTCCAAAGTTTGGTTGTTAAGAGCTGTGGTATATAAGTTACGATTTTGGCAAACGCTCAAAATTGTGTGTACCGTTTGTTTAGTTTTAATTATGTCTTAAAATGCATCAAAAGTAGCTAGTTCTATGCATTATTGCATTTGTTAAAGCAAATGTTATTACTGATTTAGTTTATTATTGGTAACGATTTAGAAATCCGTCGCCCGAATTTGATGATACTGATTATGTAGGTGTCTCGGGGGACCTTGATTGGAATACCTCCAAGTGATTTTTGCTTCCGAAGTTGCGTCTAAGTATTAAAAAAATTATTTAAAATTTTGTGTAATGTATTGAAATTCGTAAACAAACCGTACATTTTTACTTTTCTATTGGTTATTAGATATGCGACATTCTGCATAAAAAATCAGATTTTGAGAAAGTTTTTTTAGATTGAAAAATCGATGAATAAAAAATAATCGATTTTTGACGTAATCTAAATCCAACCTTAAAATTTTATTCAAAATCTCGATTTATTTTGATTATAACATTCGCCTCGCGAATTACCAAGAAAGATAATATCATTTCATTCTCTGAAATAATCTCTAAACATAACAATACGATAAAATCCTTAACTTTCGGTTTAATATAAAAATGGAGTCTCAAATTGTGCACTTTTTCAATTTAATAGCACTTTTGCGCAACTTCGCGGTGGTTTACGGCATTATAAAGATGCCGTTACTTCTAGCAATGTTTATGTTTGTTTTATACGGAAGTATGTTATGGTAAAGGGTAGTTCTTCGTTCATAAGAGAGAGTTTTATATGAAAACTTCGAAACATTAAATACTATCCAAATGTTTTCTTTTTCTCTTGCCATAGAATAAAGGCATGACCTCACGCATATATTTGCGTCAGTTAACACATAACTTAACCATTACTTACCCTTAACCTGTTGTTATACAATCGTAAACTGTCTCACGCTTTTAAACGAACACATCGATTTTCAATTGTACACAATTTAATTTAACAATGGTAGGTATTAAGCACAATTTGAGAAATGGAATTTGTAACTGATTTAGAATGTAAGAATATGTAGTCAATATGTAATTAATTATATGATAACGTAATGTTTCTCTCAGATTACTGAAACACCTTCGTTAAAGTCAAATATATTACAGCTTTGGTAATATTCTCCAATAATTTAGACCTTTGAGTTGTGTTTCATAAGCTGTTACAAAGGCGCGAAATATTATCAGAAAGCATTCGAAAAACGATATCTTTTTCGAACACGAAACTGAATAGTTGGACGTGACCCTTTATCGTTTCCTTTCAATTTAACTCGCAATATTTCAATTCAAAAGAAAAATATAGCCATGGAAACAACACTCCCTGGCACTTCGATTTCGATATAAAAAAGGTTTGCAATCACGTATCTTTGCAGTTTTTCAGGAAAATTCATATTGGGTCGATACAGAAGGTACCAAGGTCTTGTAATCATCCAATCTATAGGCGCACTTGGAGTGTGGCGTGGTATCTTTTATCAGTAATTTTGATCTATATTCTACTCACCTTCATATATTTGCTATATAAAACGAAATTATCGATGCTACATAAACTATTAACGGACAAAAATAATATAATAATAATATCCAAATTCCATTCAATGGTTTCGTCCGTTTAATTACTTGACCATTGATTGTGGCTGAATGAATGATGAAGCAATTGGTTTATTCAATTGAGAATTTAGATTCATATTTTAGACTCACCATCATATTTTCAAATGTACAGGAAATTCTGGACAACTGGTTAAAAGAGAGTATGTAAATAGACAAAATAGAAATTTTTGTCCATAGAGAAATCTGGTTCTCTTCACCATCGCCATTCAGTTGTCTGCTTTACTTTCCATAGATTCACTCCGGAGAATGCTCCATGGAACTACACAACGTGATTCCGTTATCCCCTTTCAACGCTCGTCTAGAAGCAACCTGGAGTTTCACCCCTTCGTTCTTGACATTCCCTGGTGATGCACCATTGGATCTTAGTTTCTTGTAAAAACCGCAAAGCAGTGCACCTACTTGCCTTATTCAATCTTGCCTAGACAGTTTAACATGGGTTCATTCAAACGGCGGCTAAATAGGCATCTCGAAAACTAAATTTGTTTGAAACTTTATCGACAAGAACTTTCATTTTCATGCAAATTTAGTTTTCGATTTTCTACATACACTACTGTTAAGGCATTTTGACTAAACCCGACAGGTGTGCCCATCAATGGGCCGCATCACACTTAACATTGGGACAGTGGGACAGAGTAACAGGTGGGATTGTGGCCAAACGTCTCAAAGTTCTGTATAAAAAAGTATGACCGTTTAACTTGGTTTAAGAAGTTTGTTAAAAATGCTAATTATGGAAACAACTGCATAGAATTGAAAAACCTTTTTGATTGATATTATATTGTTGTTTCTGTTTATCGAGGAAAGTTATGTAACATCTCACAACTACAGCGAAGCGGAGTATTTACAAAAAATAAATTATTAAAAATCTACAAAATTTACTCTAAAAATCAATAAATATGTTAGAAGATAGGTAGTAAAATAACTCCACGGCAAAATAAATACCGCGCCCGCATTTACGATGTGCATGGTTTTAGAAACCGCTAGTATTTAATAAATCTTATAATTTAGCCTAGCCAAAAAATCATAAATCACCCTTGTATTTTATGAAAAAATAAAACAGACGGATGCCGTAAAAGTTGGATGCTCATCGTAAAGTTTTATTTTATTAGACGGATACTGCCTTTTAGTGTTTTTATATCAACGTTTGTGGTTATTGTAAATCGATTGTACAATGTACATGGTATTGTACATAAATAAAGTCAAAACAAATATACACATTTTGAATCAATTGTTTAATACGAAATACAACTGTGCTAGACGGTATGCAGAAGAAAATACAAAAATTTATGTGACGGTGGAACACAAATTGGTTAC